GATTGTATTTATCAACGAGGATGACATAGTGGAAGCAAACAGTTCCCAACTATCGTCCAAGTGCAAGTGCAGGTTCACTCAAATGTCTCAGTTTGATGGAAATATTCAAATCTGTTGAGGAACTATCAGATATCAGAAGGGGTTTGTGGAGATTTTAGAAATTTTCACAGATTGAAATCATGAGTCAGTTGAAGCTAGACCACCATGGAAAACCTGGAAGCACTGTACGGCCGTTTCGTCCTAGTAAGGGACTCCTCAGCATTAACACCGTTGGATGCCGGCTCAGTGGTCTAATGGTTAAGTGCTCGCGCGCGAAGCCAGTAGGTGCTGGGTTCAAATCCAGCGGGGGTGTGGTCGTGGGTGCGCACTGCTGAGGAGTCTCATACTAGGACGAAACGGCCGTCCAGTAGTTCCAGGTTTGCCATGGTGGTCTAGCTTCAACTGACTCATGATTTCAATCTGTGAAAACTATCAACTAATCAGAAATACTAAATCGAGAGCTCTTATCACTGAACCAATCAGATAGCATACAATCGAGTTCCCACTGTTTCAATCGTCTGATGCTAAACATCCTGAAATGTGAGTGATCGAACTGAACTGATCTGTTATTCGACTGCACTTTCGAATGGGTCGATGGATTTCAGTAATTAGTGAGTGTCATGTAGAATGTCAATTGCCAGGCTTCGAGTTCAGTTGAGTTTATTTCAATCCGATAGTTCGAAGCACAGTCTTCTGCTCTACCGATTATTGGTCAGATGGTCTACACACAAGATTACGTGTGAGGAAATCACGATAATAAATTGGTTGCATTCACACTTTCAATTAATTGAATCGCAATCCCACTAACATGAACTGTTTCGTGTTTGAGAGTAGTGCAACTCATATCTCACAGTGGCGTGGATCAAGAAGACAGTCAGTTATAGAAATGAGCTTTCCAATTTTTGACGAGTAAATAAACCTACATAATCTAACTAATGTTACACAAAATACTATTTTGTCGAATCTTCTTATCAAACGTTAGATGTGAATTTGTAAACAGTGTGACAAATAATTAGGGCAAAACAAATCAGATTCCAACTAATTTTGTTTAATGTTTTGCATGGAACGACACAATTAATTGACCCTGTAATTGTTTTAATGACACCCTAAATTGATTACTGATTGCATCTTATGTCTGGTTGTTTAATTGTATGTAGAATTTTCTTCTCGCTAATCATTTACGTGTAATTTTTTCATAAGGTTTATTCAGTCTACTTGTGTGTTTTGTAGCTCGTTAAACCGTTTCGAATTTTAGGTTGATAGCATTATTCTCATATTTTATTTTGTTGATTGTATTTTATGTTAACAAACAATAGTTGTTGTTTATAATCAGGCTGATTCGTTTCAGCCATAATAACTAGTTATACTGTAGTCACAATATATGGTTTACTTTTTCTAGAAATATGAAGAAGTTTTTAAATACTTCTCATTAAAAATGGGAAAAGTTTATCTGTTTATTCTTCTAAACCCTCTCTGTATTGAAATGCTATTCACGACCTTTATTTATTAGATTAATTAAATAACCTGTTAAATAATGAATTATTTTGTTAAAATAGAACTAGGTCAGTGGTATTGTGTACGTATCGTTGTTAATCGTGGAAAAAAAATACTTGTCTGTCAAACAATTTAGCTGTTTGTTTTATCGGTTGCTCATTTGAATGGCATATTCATTTCTTATTGAAACGCTATATATTGTTTCCACAATTTTTTTAAACTAAGGACTTTTATTTTGTTTTTACAATGAATTTATTTATTTAAATGTGTCTATCAACTTTTCTATTATGTTGAATATGGAAGACCAAACTATAGATCTTATATTTATCCTGCTTTGAATTTAGGAAATCACACTCGTAGTGCCTAAAGATGTCATTGTTTGTGTCTACTTAGATTCCAATGACTGATAATATTTGTCAATGTATTCAAGAATACTTTTCTAGTTTATATTCAGGAGTTAGTAAAGTGTACTATCGATTAGCGTTATCTCAGATGCAAGATATAAACTAACGTTTTCAAGTTATTGCAAATATAATTTGTGAGGGTGCAGATTGAAGCGACAGTAATCTTTTTCATTTATCATCATTTTTCGATTTGTGTGTAGGCTGAGGTGCCACATGGATTCCTAGAATGAGGTAGGCAGTTTTCTTAGGGGGCCACTTCAGAGCCTTTAACCTAGAGATATAATCCACAAGGCAGTGGAGCAACGTTAGGGCATGCGATCCCTCGGTAGCCGATGACCAAGAATAGGTTCTTACACCATCTATCCCCTCAGGATCTTGGGACCCATATACACCACTGGTTTGCAATCAAGGTTTTCTAACCCTTCCGGGTGGATATTTCGAACACCCAACCCAGTGTAAGAACCGGATACTTGCTTTCCATTCTCTCAACTTTGCAATTAACACCTCCACAAGAAACCAGTGAGTACGACTTCCCTAGCAGTTGGTATATATATGTGGTCGTGTTAAAGAATTTCTAGAGGAAGAGTGGAATCTTCGCAACTTCCGTCGTACCTTGGCAGCTTGAAGCTACAGAAGTGTTTGTTTACATTTCTATAAATATAGAAGTGCAGCAATATGTACTTAGTTAAATATTTGCGGCCATTAACATTCATAATGATTAATACTTTCATTACTAGTTAAAGATTAATTTTCATCATAAACTACGGGGTGTTTCTAGATTGTTCGTAGTCGATGTTTTCTTGAAAATGTCATCAGTCAAGGGAATAATTTTTGTCTATATGACTTACGATTACTAAACAGTTATTGTATTTAATTCATCTTAGATGATCTACTTCTTTGTACGGTTTGATGACTTTGCTTTAATAATAAATTACTTGTAAAAACAAAGCGGAAATAGATGGGACATACATCACGGAAACCACCAAGCTGAATCACAAGGGAAGCCCTAACTTGGAATTCCGAAGATACGTGGAAAAGAGAAAGACCAATGAACACATAACGTCGGGAAATAGAAGCAGATATGTGAAGGATGAAAAATAACTGTAAAAAGCTGGAAAGGATTGACCAGGACGGAGTTGGATGCAGAGTGATGGTGAGCGGCCTATGCTCCTCCATGAGGATTAACAGGCGTAAGGAAGTAAGTAAAGAGTTTCAAATAGAAATTTAAATTAAGCATCATACTTCATTAGAGCAGAAAAATTTGGTATAAGCTATTTCATTTCACACTGTAGCTAAATAAAAATGAATATTGGTTTTTTATATAATTTAATTGATCAGTAATATAATCGCTTTAATTTTATGGATAACTATTGTTAGTAAAAACTACTGAGAATAATAAAATGGTGAAAACCAATTTATTTGCACTGTATAACTATTTTAATCGCTATCGCATCTCTATAAAATTCTTTTTCGGTAATGAAATAGTTTGAATATCCTCATAATCAATCTGATGAAATAAATCAAAGTTGAAATATTTGGCTACGAAATATTTGCATATATAAAATGTAGATTATTCGTATCCGTATTTCAGCAAATGTGATATTATTATAGATGCTCAAGGAAGTGTAATACTCACAGTTTTACTAAGAAGAATGTTTGTTAGAGTTATTTTCATTAGTTGAATGGTACTACTTCATTATGATAGTTAAGTTTTTGTGGTACCAATAGTAACATCAAGCCAATATGCACTTTATATGAGACTAGTTTGGGTGTTTTTTTGCATCAAATCGTTGAAAATACAAATGAGATAAAGTTTTGTGGATATTTATTATAATGTAAATTTATTTCAAACGATTGATAGAATTCTACACGAAGTTTTTTTAGTTTCATTGTTTCGGTAAAGTTGTTTGTTTATAATCTAAAAATCCTGAATTTGACTTTAGAATATTTCTACAATGTCTAACCAGAAATTCTGGTTATGCAAATATTAACGCCGTTCTCCTGTGGTTATATAGGGAATTAATTTCATCAATAAATTATAAAACTAAATGAAAACATATAAACTGTCGAATCTATTGATTCAGAAGGTGTAAAGACAGCATAAAATGGATATAAACAGTAGGAATATTCTGTTACTTATGAGGAGCTGTACACTAACATAAAGATTACTCATTTTATATAAACACTGGTCATCATTTTCAGATGAATCGATCACCGAGTTCTCCTGAATTTCTAAGTTTAAAAGAAGAAAAATTGCAGGTCATTTTACATGCTACTTATCTAAATCTGATCTTAACATTATTGAATTATAACAATCTCCTAAATATTCTTCATTAAAGGATTAAAAAAATCTGTTTTGCAAGACAAAGCTAACAATCCATCATTATTTATAAATCCTGATACATTTCATAATATAAATAAAGTAATTAAAATGACATTCTAATAAGGTTATTAACATTTTGATTGGAGATTGTACTACTACAAATTATTAATTATATACATGTTTGTCCTTGAACTGCTATAGTGCAATAATTCTAGGCGTATTGCTTGGATATGAATGATACTAATGACTGATTTATACATATGTATCAAGTAAAATTCACTTTACTGACATTGATTTTGACCAGATAACTAATGTGACTTCTCATATTCAGCAAATTAATGCGAGTAATTTACTTGTTATATGGTATCTCTAATCATAACTATATTTTGATAGTCTAAGGAAGCTAGTAATCGTACAAAATGTTTAGGTTAGATTATTTAACACCTCAAACGTGTTAGTTGATGGTAAGCTATTCTAACAAATGATCAAGTATAAAACACTTCCTAAACATTTCAAATATTAAAATTCTTTTTGTTGAACCAAATATTATATTAAAATAACACATGTAGATCTTACTTTTCATCGTTCTTAATGAATATATAGCTTTTTGTTGAAAAAGAGAAACCACTTATATGTATACCTGTTCTGATCATCCAGAGAAACTTAATTCTTCCTTTATAATGTTTCATTATTTTGTTCCATTTTTGGTTTTTGGAATACGCTTCTTTTTCGGCACTGAGTTATCCTTCACGATAGAATTGTCGTCGTAATTTTAACAGTTCTCTTGTTACAAAAAATATATGTACAATACTTATTAATCCAACTAGTATGCAGATCATTGTGATTGGATAATAAAAAGCATTTAATTTACCACACTTAATTGTAAAAGGAATTGCAATCAGTGGCATAACTATGCCAAATAATAAGTCACACATTACACAAAATAACATTAATGATGCTGATGGAACTGATTCATAATGATATAATCCCATAGCAAGTGTACCAATTAATAGAAAACCTGCAGAACACCATAAACCAACACAATAGCATTGTATACGATATGTATAAATTATATAACCAACTTCAATGGTCGAACAGCATAATCCCATGATTAACAATAATAAACCTGGTCTAGCTTCAACTGACTCATGATTTCAACTTGTGAAATTTCTAAAATCTCCACAAAACCCATTCTGATAATAATAATCACCTGCTCACTAGTGACTGACTTCAGGAGACACTTCTGGAGTTCTAGTGAGAAGTCGTTACCAGTGGAGTTCAACCAGGTCTGTTGTGAGATAGGAACTCACTGAGGACAATGGTGTACGGTAGCGCAACTTCGTGGATTGGTTGAAGTTAGACATTAACACCGTTGGATGCCGGCTCAGTGGTCTAATGGTTAAGTGCTCGCGCGCGAAGCCAGTAGGTCCTGGGTTCGAGCCCCGGGTGGTGCGGGGTCGTGGATGCGCACTGCTGAGGAGTCCCATACTAGGACGAAACGGCCGTCCAGTGCTTCCAGGTTTTCAATGGTGGTCTAGCTTCAACTGACTCATGATTTCAACTTGTGAAATTTCTAAAATCTCCACAAAACCCATTCTGATAATAATAATCACCTGCTCACTAGTGACTGACTTCAGGAGACACTTCTGGAGTTCTAGTGAGAAGTCGTTACCAGTGGAGTTCAACCAGGTCTGTTGTGAGATAGGAACTCACTGAGGACAATGGTGTACGGTAGCGCAACTTCGTGGATTGGTTGAAGTTAGACATTAACACCGTTGGATGCCGGCTCAGTGGTCTAATGGTTAAGTGCTCGCGCGCGAAGCCAGTAGGTCCTGGGTTCGAGCCCCGGGTGGTGCGGGGTCGTGGATGCGCACTGCTGAGGAGTCCCATACTAGGACGAAACGGCCGTCCAGTGCTTCCAGGTTTTCAATGGTGGTCTAGCTTCAACTGACTCATGATTTCAACTTGTGAAATTTCTAAAATCTCCACAAAACCCATTCTGATAATAATAATCACCTGCTCACTAGTGACTGACTTCAGGAGACACTTCTGGAGTTCTAGTGAGAAGTCGTTACCAGTGGAGTTCAACCAGGTCTGTTGTGAGATAGGAACTCACTGAGGACAATGGTGTACGGTAGCGCAACTTCGTGGATTGGTTGAAGTTAGACATTAACACCGTTGGATGCCGGCTCAGTGGTCTAATGGTTAAGTGCTCGCGCGCGAAGCCAGTAGGTCCTGGGTTCGAGCCCCGGGTGGTGCGGGGTCGTGGATGCGCACTGCTGAGGAGTCCCATACTAGGACGAAACGGCCGTCCAGTGCTTCCAGGTTTTCAATGGTGGTCTAGCTTCAACTGACTCATGATTTCAACTTGTGAAATTTCTAAAATCTCCACAAAACCCATTCTGATAATAATAATCACCTGCTCACTAGTGACTGACTTCAGGAGACACTTCTGGAGTTCTAGTGAGAAGTCGTTACCAGTGGAGTTCAACCAGGTCTGTTGTGAGATAGGAACTCACTGAGGACAATGGTGTACGGTAGCGCAACTTCGTGGATTGGTTGAAGTTAGACATTAACACCGTTGGATGCCGGCTCAGTGGTCTAATGGTTAAGTGCTCGCGCGCGAAGCCAGTAGGTCCTGGGTTCGAGCCCCGGGTGGTGCGGGGTCGTGGATGCGCACTGCTGAGGAGTCCCATACTAGGACGAAACGGCCGTCCAGTGCTTCCAGGTTTTCAATGGTGGTCTAGCTTCAACTGACTCATGATTTCAACTTGTGAAATAAACCTGTTATCATGGTAAAGAAATCCCATCTATCTCCATTATCACACCAATATTTACTGCATAGATCTTCATTTTCTGAAATCGGTTCATTTTCTACTATTTTTGTTTTTGGCATTATTTTAATTTCCTCTCTAGTAAATAGAATCTATTTGGATAGAATTACACAGTTTTTAACAGCAAATGTTTCTCTTTAGAAGCAAGATTTAATGCTCTCTCTATTGATGTGAAAAAATGTATTTGAAATGAATGTTTATATTCTTCTATACAAAAATTGAAAATTCAATGTTCATAGATTATAAGATACTTTATAATCAGCTCTAACGTACAATTGTACAATAATAATTTTCATACGGTTCTACTTTTGGTAATGTATATATAAGTAATAGTATTTTGCATTAAATAAATGATAGTATGTGATTGGTTGATCAGTCCTCCTTAATTTTTGTTTATCACCACTTAAAACATATAAATTCGAGTGACCTTGATAATCTAAATATAAGATTGTCTTAATGAGTTGCATTTTAATTTTACCAGTAAATTACATCTTTAGGTGTACTTATATTATGTAATTTGTGTAAGTTTTATAATCAAAATCAGATCAAAGCAATTGACAAGTTGAGTTAATTATTTATTGATGCATTAATAAACAAATAGAATATCAGAAGGGGTTTTGTGAATATTATAGTAATTTTACTAGTTGAGATCATGAGTCAATTGAAGCTAGACCACCATGGAAAAACTGGAAGCACTGGACGGCTGTTTCGGCTCAGCAGTGCGCATTCATAATTCCGCCTCGCGAGATTCGAACCCAGGATGAGATGACCATTCAGTGCTTCCAGGTTTCCCATGGTGGTCTGGCTTCAATTGACTCATGATCTCAACTATTAAAAAAGAATATCATTTTCATTTTTATAAATGTATGGCTATTATGTTTGTATCGACTGACAGATGGATTGTATGTGATTGCTTTGTATTTATTGAATAATATTTATTTAATTATGTTCGCTGTCATCTACTTTCTTCAAACACTGATATATATATATTCGTGAATAATACTACATTAGTTTTGAACGAATTTTAAAACTTCTATTTCTTCACTTACAATACATTAAGTTTTTCTAAAAAAACTTTGATTGTTTAGATCTTTGAAGTGTTGACATTTAATTCTCAATTCATCTCTTTTGCTGAATACATTGAATTAATTAAATTTGAGTATATTTTATACACTGAAATATGATATACTTTATAGCATGAAGATCTACATATCTCTCTATAAAATTTCATTATACATAGATTTTACTGAAAACAAACATTTTGTTTTATGAGTTAGTTGAAACTAGACCAACAGGTTTTCCATCGTGGTCTAACTTCAATTGACTCATGAATTCAACTAATAAATTACTATCATATCCACAAAATCCCTCTCTGATTTTGCTTTATTCCGACAAAAATAAATCATCTTAATATAAATTATTGGATATTCTGCAAATAGTGTTTATGATATTTGTAAATTTTCAAATAATCAAGAGACCTATTTGCACTCTATTTGAGCAATGTGTACACTTGAAAGATGTCTTATCAAAGTTATGTATCATCTTATTTTCTTGTTATAAATATGAGATTTATGCCCATCTAATCACTAGTAAGACACAACGTTACAAGTATATTAATGTTTTAACACTAAATGAAAATTTGTTCATAAATTGACCATTGTTAATGGGATTTCATCGAACATGAAAGTTACCAAACGGGAATGAAAAGGACGCTTTGTATGATAAATTATTATGTTTATCTGAAACAATATGTGTATTGATTTTACAGGAGAGCACAGGTAAATTACATAAGACATTTTATAACTCATAATATTATCGAGTTCCAAATGAATTCCTTAACGGCAAGCAGTTTACATTTAAATAAACGATTTTATTCTTAAAGATGATAATACTGCAATTAGTTTAAAATAGTTAGTTGATTGCACTTGGAGATTAAATCGATTGGTTAAAAAGTTATATTTTAGTATGGGAAGGATTGATAAACTTTATAAGTATATATTACTGACAAATGAATTTCTGATTCGCTTTCCATGAGATAAAAATGACATCGAAACCCTATCACTTAAGGATGAGTTCTTATGCGTTTGCTTACATACACCAAAACCTGTTTGCTAAATTAGTGGAATATGAATCTGATCTAAATTATAATAAAATTTGAAGTGCCAATAGAAATTTATTCCACCGGTTTACATACACAAAATCTGTGAATGTTAAACATGTATTGTTAAGTTTACATTATGCTCATCAGCAAATTTCCAACAAGTGGATAATAGTAACAGTATACCATACGACGATGTCAATAAACAGAAACTTAGAACAAATAAAGTCAACTGACAAATAATCAGAATTAGGCGTATTACAGTACCTTTTGGAAATGATTAGCGAGAAGAAAATTCTACACACAATTAAACAACCAGACATAGGATGCAATCAATAATCAATTCAGGGTGTCATTAAAACAATTACACGGTCAATTAATTGTGTCGTTCCATGCAAAACATTAAACAAAATTAGTTGGAATCTGATTTGTTTTGCCCTAATTATTTGTCACACTGTTTACAAATTCACATCTAACGTTTGATAAGAAGATTCGACAAAATAGTATTTTGTGTAACATTAGTTAGATTATGTAGGTTTATTTACTCGTCAAAAATTGGAAAGCTCATTTCTATAACTGACTGTCTTCTTGATCCACGCCACTGTGAGTTGTGAGTTGTACTACTCTCAAACACGAAACAGTTCATGTTAGTGGGATTGCGATTCAATTAATTGAAAGTGTGAATGCAACCAATTTGTTATCGTGATTTCCTCACACGTAATCTTGTGTGTAGACCATCTGACCAATAATCGGTAGAGCAGAAGACTGTGCTTCAAACTATCGGATTGAAATAAACTCAACTGAACTCGAAGCCTGGCAATTGACATTCTATATAACACTCACTAATTACTGAAATCCATCGATCCATTCGAAAGTGCAGTCGAATAACAGATCAGTTCAGTTCGATCACTCACATTTCAGGATGTTTAGCATCAGACGATTGAAACAGTGGGAACTCGATTGTATGCTATCTGATTGGTTCAGTGATAAGAGCTCTCGATTTAGTATTTCTGATTAGTTGATAGTTTTCACAGATTGAAATCATGAGTCAGTTGAAGCTAGACCACCATGGCAAACCTGGAACTACTGGACGGCCGTTTCGTCCTAGTATGAGACTCCTCAGCAGTGCGCACCCACGACCACACCCCCGCTGGATTTGAACCCAGGAACTACTGGC